ATTATCTGCTACCTCAGTTCATTCACAATAAAGTAACACTGAGCATATTTTGTTGGATGAAATGTTGCCAACTTCTAACATACATTGTATGTATACAGCATATACTTCAACATTTTGCAAACCAACTTTTAAATTATTATATTTTTTATTTTATTTTTCCATATTTTTGTTTAGTTTTTGCAAAGTTTTATTTATTATTAGGTATTTAATATCCATGAATTTGATTTGTCCTAATTTTTTTCCAGTTCATATTTATTTTTAATTTTCATTCTTAAAATACGTAAAGTATTGTTTAAATTGAAACCACTCATTTTTTCACAGACAAAAGAATTACAAGGGCATTTCTGCTGTCAAAATTCTAAGGGTGCTACGTGTACTGAGACCACTCAGAGCTATAAATAGGGCAAAGGGGTTAAAGGTCAGTTTTTTACAATGTAACACTTAATTGTGTTTCTGTTTAATATCATCACATGTGTATATCTTATTTTTTTCCACAGTTGTCATAGCAACATTATTATTCTATTCATTGACATCTTAAACAAATGGAGTTGCTAGTAATAAAGTTGATGATAACTACCGGTACTACAAGTTGATAATAACTACCGGTACTACAAGTTGATAATAACTACTGGTACTACAAGTTGATAATAACTACCGGTACTACAAGTTTATCAGTATTCAACAACATAATCTAAGGGACTATTGAAATAAAGAATAATACCTGGTCAATCCAGGACATTGATTACCATAGTAACTCAAAACATTCAAATATTTTTTTTGTCTACGTTTTTCTTATAGCATGTAGTACAGTGTGTATTTGTAGCGATCAAAACCATCGGCAATATTATGTTGGTTACATTCTTACTCCAGTTCATGTTTGCGTGCGTTGGTGTCCAGTTATTTCAGGGGATGTTTTTTAGGTGCACTGATGGGTCAAAAATGACACGTGAAGAATGTCAGTAAGTATTTTTATATTTATAAGATTACCAAGCATTTTCAGAGATTCAACATCTACATGTAAATTGATGTTGAACATAAATTTGTAAATGGTATCATAGACAACTATATGAAAGTATGTTTTCATTGCAGAATTATAACACTTAATGAACCCTGTTTATTTTTAGCTCCGCTGTCGACTTTGTCGAGCGGAGCTTATCATATGAGTGATTGTCCGTCGTCGTCG